CAGAGATACACAAGGCATAGTCTTTGTTTACCCAAGGTTTAAAATCTAGTTAAGAAGATGGGACCAAGCAGAAAAATAAAAATACTTTAGGTCATTTCCCAAGTGATTGGTATGAATAAATAATCAACCTGAGAGGAGTTGTCTTAGTCATCTGGTGCTGCTATAACAGAAATACCACAAGTGGATGGCTTTAACAAACAGAAATTTATTCTCTCACAGTCTAGGAGGCTAGAAGTCTGAATTCAGAACACCAGCTCCAGGGGAAGGCTTTCTCTCTCTGTTGGTTCTGGGGGAAGATCCTGGTCATCTATCTTTCCCTGGTCTAGGAACTTCTCAGTGCCGGGACCCTGGGTCCAAAGGACGTGCTCTGCTCCCAGCTCTTCTTTCTTGGTGGCATGAGGTCCCACTCCTCTCTGCTCACTTCTCTCTTTTATATCTCAAAAGAGATTGATTCAAGATACAACCTAATCCTGTAGATTGAGTCCTGCCTCATTAATATAACGACCTTTAATCCAGCCTCATTAACATCATAGAGGTTAGGATTTACAATACGTAGGATAATCACATCAGATCACAAAATGGAGGACAACCACATAATACTGGGAATCATAGCCTAGCCAAGTTGACACACATTTTTGGGGGATGCAGTTCAATCTATAACAGGAGTTAATGATTGCCAGAAGGCCTTACTAAGGAGCTGGGTCTTAAGGGATGACATAGAACTCTTAACGAGGGAATGTAGGATCAAAAGGTCTATGAACAGCTGGTAGGAAAGTGTATGGCAAGTTGATAATAGTGAGTAGACCAGTTTATCTGGAATGAGGCTCAGAGAAGCTAAGAAACTTACCCAGCATCACATGGCCGATCTTGTGTTGAAACTAGAGAGTCAAACTCCTAAGTCCATTCTTTCTCTTTTTTTGCTTTTTTGGTAACACATCATGGTCTATTTCTTGGCTATCAGGCTAAGGATTTAGATTTTTTTCTGAGGTAGAGAGCAACCATTGAAGATTTCTTAGCAAAAAGGTATTTTACAAGGATAAATTGGTAGTAGTTACTATGGAGGGGGTATTGAAGGGACACCAGAGTCAGTAACATAAATTTTAGTTTCTTTTGAGAAGAACTTTGCCCATTTTTGCTTCTTGTCTCTTGGACTTAAGATTTATTTTGACAACAAATATGAATAATTATATTTTATAGTGTGACATGTAACATAATAAGAGCTTGGACTAGGAAGGACAGATGAGAAAAGTACCCTGAGGGGAAGATCACCAAGATAACAAGCTTATTCCCCATTGAGAATTAGAATATAGGATTAGGATGGGAATGGAAAGAGCCATAGAAGGTAGTAGAATGTTAGCAAAAGTTTAAAGCTGGAATGAACAAGATCAGTAAAAAAGTTTGGTTTGATGAAGAAGTATAAAAATTCTTGAGGGAAGCCTCTTTTTTTTGACCTTGAAGATCAGATTTAGTGTTACAGAAAATATATGCATGCACATAATACTTTCTTGGTAAACATATGTTAAGGTTATTTTTGTGACATATAAAATATTATATAGTATTGGACTTGTAAAACAGTGCTAAAGATTGAACTCTGGCGGAATGTTCACGGCAGAGAAAAAGAGTAAGTAAATGAATTAATTGTGCTTCATTAGGGTGGACCATCAAAACCAAACCCTGTTGCGGTCAAGTCTATTCCAGCTCATAGTGACCCTGTAGGACAGAGAAGAACTGCCCCATAGGGTTTCCAAGGAGCAGCTGGTGGATTTGAACTGCTGACCTCTTGGTTAGTGGCTGAGATCATACAGCATATAATAACTAACTGCCTGTCACAAAGATCTCTTAGGTAGATCACACTCATATTTAAACAACTAAAGCAGGAGGTTACTTGAATAAGGTCATAAGTAAATTGTCCATAGGTTTCCTAGTGGCCTTGTTCTCACTAAAACAATGAGGAGTATTCTGACGAGTTGGTTGCCACCTTGAACCTTAAGAGGATAAAATGTCATTGGGGAAAAACTAGCTTTAACAGGATGTCTAGGGTTGATCCCAAGGATGTATGGAGTGTTTAAAATGTAAGGGGGGAATTTAAATATGTTAAAGTAAAGGCATTTTTTCCTCTCTCTTTCCTTCTCTCAAACCCATGAAAAGAACAACACCCACAAAATGAAAAACGGGGGAGAACTCCATCCTCATTGAAACAAAGGAATAGCAACGTCTCCACAAACCATAGGCTCCAAAACATGCTTATGAAATCTGTGCACCCTGGACTAACGGAGAACACGCTAAGAGCCGCAGACTGCTGCGGCCTCCAACAATGCAGGGTTCCTTAGAGGTACCTGCCAGAGTTCTGAAAGGCCCATCCAGTGACCCTTAGGATAGAGTGACTACATTTAGGGGTGTGAGCAGTCACATCCTGGCAGAAGCAGGGAAGTTTTTTGTACACATCTAGTTCAGCATTGCAGAAATGCAGGGAGAAATTGCAGAAGGAGGCACCGTGCTCACTGCCGCTTTACTCTTACCACCTGCCTTCCCGGCTGAGGATAACGCCTCTAGTGAAATGGGCAAAAGGCAGTGATAGCAAAACAGGCTGCCTGGATTTTTGGTTTGAGAACACCTTTACCTTCTTGAGTAAGACTTGACAGTGTTGGCGTTGAAGACGACAGACCTGAAGTAAAGTTCAGGCTGTCTCAGATCCCACTTCCAGGTCTCCTCTCCAACCATTCTTCCATAATAATCAGCTCTAGGAAAGGATGAGTAATACTCAGAAAGAAAGCTGCTTCATACCTGTGTATAAAAATTATAAACAAACAAAAATGACTCACTTGTACATCTTGGAAAGAAATGTAGGAAACAAAGAAAAGTATTAGAGATACGAAAGCCACATTAGAAACAAAAGAAAGACATTACAGAGATGAAAGCCACATGAGAAGCAAAAAAAAGTGCAAAAAGTGAAAAACACAACCAAATCTTATGGTGGCCAGGTGAGATGAAATCACCAAATGGAAAAGAGTAAAAATATAAAAATGCTCCTAGAATAGATAAATATGGATAACAGACAAAAGGTCCAAATATGAAAAACTGGTATCCCTGAGGAGGATCAGAACAAATAGAAGAAAATATGTAAAAGACACACTGAAAACATGTTCCTGAAGTAAGAAAAGACTCATGTCTACAGATTGAAGGGGCAAATAGTGTCCAGGAAAGGAAAATTGATAAGGGTCTTCACAAAGACCTATTCTGGTGGAGTTACTGAACTTCAACCATCAATAAAGAGTTCTGGGTATCCAGGTAGAAAAATAAATTGTACAAGAAGAAGATACCCCTTTGGCTTTGGTCTTCACCATGGCAGCACAAGCTGCCCAGCTACAATGGAGTTAAGTTTCTCAAGAAGAGAAACAGGCATCTAAGAATTTTACTTTTAGATTATTATTAGAGTATTAAAGCAACGGACTTGTGATCACACAAGAATTCAGGGAATACACACCACTTATGAGCTGTTAACCACTCAAAAAGGAATTTAAACCAACCAAGATATTGAAAAAAAAATATTAGGAACAAAAAAGCCATAGAAAACAATTGATGATGAGTGCCAAATCCATTTGTAGGAATTTTGGTTCCAGAATGGAATGTTCATTAGAACGATGAATATATGAGCACTTACAGAAGTTAGCTTCTTAGTGTGAAATATAAGAACTACATAATCAAACACTTCTAAGCTAGGGTCATTTTTGTGGTAAGAATTCTTATTTAAAGAGCCTTGCAAATAGATATCAACAAAATTATTCCTAAGTGTGCTAATTTTTTTTTCTTCTGTGGCTGTAAACCAGTTTATAGTCTTTCTTACACGATAATTTGCATCTTATGTTAGATGACTTCTTTTGTATCTCAAAGTCTTAATGATCAGTTTATAGAATAGATACAAGTTGTTGTTGATTTGTATATGTATCAATATGAATGTTATATATACATATATATGCATATATTTTATGAACATAGAATTTTTCAAGTCATAACAACCCTGTAGGACAGAGTAGAACTGCCCCATAGGGTTTCCAAGGAGTGGCTGGTGGATTCGAACTACTGACCTTTTAGTTAGCAGCTGAGCTCTTAACCAGTGTGCCACCAGGGCACAGTGGATGATAAATGAATGTCTTTTTAATTTGAGTTGAAGAATCTCTCTGCAAAGCTGGTACGTGTGGGCGGTTAGTTTTGTTTTCTCCAATATTGCTGATGTTGCAGATAATTGTGCGTGCAGCTCAACTAGGAGTTTATATAAAAATTTTGATAGTGGGTGTCTAAAGTTGCATATAATTAATTTTTCAAATTATACTTTTTAATTATAAGTCGTCTTTAACTGGGAGTGGGTCATACTTAGCCATCGTTATTAAAATGCATTATTTATTGTTATGCATTTATGACTGGTATTTAATAAATATGAAAGTATTTTGAGTGAATAAAGATTTTACATTGGTTAACATGATCTAAGTTTTAATTATGCTCACAGTTTTCGTTGTCATGAGGTTTATGTATTTCTGTTATGCATCTCTTATAGTCATTCAAGTGAAGATAACAGCCGTTTATTTTCTTAGGTACTGCATAAGCCGGCCACAATATAAGACTTCTTGTGGTATCTCCTCATTAATTTCTTGCTGGAATTTCTTATATAGTACAATGGGAGCTGGAAGGTAAGTATGTCAATTTATGGATATTCCCAAACTTCAAACTCAAAAGCAATTTGGTGTTACTTTTCGGTAATGCAAGGTTTCTAAGAAGGGATTTTTATAAATTAAGAAACAACTGCTGTACTTTTTAGTAAGCCTTTTAGCCTAAAATACATGCATGTATTATTTTTGATGAAATAAAATTTAATTAAAAATATTACCAAAATTGTTTGCAAATCAGACAGACATTAAAGTTGTGCATGATTGGAATTGTAAAATGAAAGGCAATCTTTCTCTTGTAGTTTTCCACCTATTACCCAAGAAGAGGCTTTACATATTTTGGGCTTTCAACCCCCATTTGAAGATATTAGGTTTGGCCCTTTCACTGGAAATACAACACTTATGAGGTATGAAACCCCCACTTAGAGGCAATACCTTATTTCTAGGTCTGTAAAGAAGTAATACTCTAGATATGTTTTACGCAATAAACCATGTGCCTAGCTACTGGGCCCCAACCTCTAGCAGACATGCCAAACTTGGACTATGCCTACATTTCTCTAGAATTGAATTAATGCCATCTTTGTTATAGAACTATTGCTATGAGCAAATCCTCTTCTTATTTTCAGGTGGTTTCGACAAATTAATGACCACTTCCATGTAAAAGGATGTTCTTATGTTCTGTATAAACCTCATGGGAAGAATAAAACAGCTGGAGAAACTGGTAGGTAAACATATAGAAGAGTTTATACTCATACGCAAATCCACCCACCCGTATGTACATACGTATGTGCTTTAGGATCCATCTCAAAAATTGGCTGTCTTTATTCAAGGGACAATATGCAAACCCTAAACATAGTCTGTTACTTTTCTATCTCTTTATCTAAGGGGGAAGTCTGTAATTCAGTAGGGCACTTTTCAATGTGTAGTTTAACAGTTTTACCTCTTCTCGTCTTTACATGTAGGACTTTTAGAACTTTAAGGCATGTCATAAACACTAACACAGTATTGTTCGGTTCTAACACAGTATTGTGTGTGTGTATAAAACTTTGAGGAAGCAGCATGGAATTTCCTATAAGGGAAGGGAAGGATTTTAGAATATTTGTTGGTAAACCAAAAACCAAACCTATTACTGTCGAGTGAATTCCAACTCATAGGGACCCTATAGGACACAGTAGAACTTCCCCATAGGGTTTCCAGCAAGTGGCTGGTGGACTCGAACTGCTGGCCTTTTGGTTAGCAGCCGAGTTCTTTCGTAATAATATAAAAGCAGAATAATGGACTGTGAAAGTGACTGAGTTCTGTTATATAATAATCTAGGTTATAACAGAGATTAATGGAGTTGATTTTAAGGATTTTAAGGATTGTTTTACTTATACACTAATAAAATAACTTGCATTATTTGAAAATTTCCATTTTTTAAAATTGGCACAACAATCTTTTGATTTTATAAATCTGAAAGTTGTACTACAGAGAGGGTATATGTTTACCAAGGTTAAGGATTGAATGAACATAGAGTAGGATATCTTTCTGTTGACCTATAGCTGGCCAGCCATTTATTGGAAACCCTATGGAGCAATTCTACTCTGTCCTGTAGGGTTGCTATGAGTCAGAATCAACTGGATGGCAACAGGTTTTTATAGCTGTTGTATTACACTGGTTAAGAGTTAGGCAAGCTTGAAATTTAGACCTTGGCTCCTGTATATACTAGTTTTGTGACCTCGAACAAGTCACTTAGCCCCTCACTTGCCGAGCCCCATTGTGGACCTTGGTTTCTGTATTTGCATCCATTCCACAGGGTTACTGTGATGATAGTACTTAGTGTACTTAGGACCATGTTTGACACAGAGTAAGGACTCAACAGGTGTTAGCTATTCTTCTTACTGACTGAACTGTACGTTTGCACTGGGCCTGTCCCTGTGGAAAGGGCCGCTTTAAATGGTGTGCTAGTATTTTTTTCTGTTTCTGGTGAGATTGCTGACACACCTCTCAGTAACCCATTAGGCAGATAAAAACTGAGAAACGGTATGTTTTCCAGGTTACTAACTTTTCTCTTCAGCTCTGTCTACTTTGCTTTTTAAATTGTTCATTGAGTTTGAGTTAAAAAAAATTGAATCATATTTTCATTTTTAGAAATCTCTACTTCTTTTTTAAATCTGCTTTTTTAAATAGTTTCTTGTTCCTAACTCCTGTTTTCATACCTTCTTTATTTTTTTTCTGTGTTTGATCTAATATCTGACATTTTTGTGTATCTGATTCTGCTGTCTTGTTTCTGCTGGATCTCACCTGAGGTACCTTTTCCCTTGCCTGTTTTGTTTCTTTAAACTGTAATCTATTTAACTGGGTCTTTATCTGTGAGAAGTCTTTGAGACCTGGATTAAATTTAGGAGTCGTAAAATTCTTCAGAGATTTCCACTGAATTTTGCCTGTTTCCTGGAGTACTATCCACCTGGAACTATTTTGATTTCTCTAATTGAGGAGTTTTTTTGGACCACACAAGTAGCATGAGTTTTACTGGCTTATGGTTGTGAATTCTCAGGGAAAGTTTTTCCTCGTCGTCCACACCAACAGTTAGAGGGAAAATTTCCTTCTTCCTTCTTCCGTGTGGTCAGTTTCTTCCTCCTTTACTTTTACACTGAAGGTAGGTAGCTTTATGGCATCTCAGCTTTTCCTGACTCTCCATATGGAACAAGCCCTGGACTTTTTTTCTGTACTGCATACCTTGTGCAGTCATCAGGGTAAAGCTGTATTTTCTGGGGTTTGGCAGACACTTTCAGAACAAAAGCCAGTGTGAAAGCCCGCTTACCTCCAAGGATCCCTACTTTCATTCCTTTGTTAATCTCTGAGGACTCTTCTGTATGTATTTTAACAAATCTTTTTACATTTTATGTAGTATTTTTGTTATTTCATTGGCAGCGTTATTCAGGGTATCTAATTCACCATATTGCCAAAGAAAGTATGTACATGGAACATTCAAAAAACTCTTATCTTTTATGTATATGTTCAAATTTATGTTTTGTGGTATGAAATAGTTCTAAACTTAGAATCGTTTGGATAACAATATACTATTAATATGAACAAAATCTTAATTCTGGTGTTTAATCTATGTTATGATCAGTGTTTGTTTCTTCAAACCAAAACTATTGCTAGATACATATAATCAGTAACTAAACCAAGCATGGTTGTGGTTATAGATAGATCCTAGCCTTTCTCATAAACTATGTAATTTGACTATCGTCTTGACCTTAGTTTTGGTATGTTAATTTTTCCTTCTGTAATATTTAATGTTTTCTGCAATTTTGGAGTATTAAGGCCCTTTTCCATGTGACCTGCTTTTAAAAAAATCAGCATTGGTAAGCAAGGAGCAATTTTGGTATCCCTGGCGATCCCGAATGTACTTTTAATGCTAATAAGATCTGTGTTAGCTCGATGACACATTTCCAAAGAATGTATATTCTTTTGTTTTTAGAATGAGATGTATTTTACTTATTCAAATTAAGGGAAAATAATATTAATTATGTTAGTTCCACATTTATTATCATTGTCAGGTCTGGATTTTAGTTTATGGTGATGCTAGTCTACATTAACAGTGTGTCAGACAAGATGCCTATCGTTTGTGTTATTATAAAAGCTAATTCAATATTATCAACTCTTGCTGTCCTTATGATACTAACTTTTAAAAAATTTTATTTTATTTTATTTTTGTCGAGAATATACACAGCAGAACATACACAAGTTCAACAATTTCTACATGTACACGTCAGAACTGATGACATTCTTCAAGTTGTGCAACCCTTCTCACCTCCATTTTTCAAATTGTTCCTCCTCCAGTAACGTAAACTCACTCCCCTAAGTTTCCTCTCTGGTTTTTTTTTGTTGCTGTTGTCAGTTTGATCTCATGCATAGTTCTTAAAAGAGCACAATGCTCAAGGCAGACATTCTTTAAAGCTACACTATTGTTTGGTTTAACGAGACTTCAGGGAATATTTTTGGGTTCAGGTTTAAAGATTATCGCAGGGCAGTAGTTTTGGGGGCCCATCCAGCCTCAATGACTCCAGAAAGTCTTGATTCCATGAGAATTTGAAATTCTGCTCTGCATTTGCGTCTTTTGGTCGGGATTCTTCTATAGATTCTTTGATCACAATGTTTGAGGGTCATTTAACTCAAATGTAAGGGCATTTTTTGACACCTATTACTACATTTCTATGTCTCATTGTTTTTCATTGATTTTATAGTAGTAAAAACCATCCTTTATTGGGAGTCGCTATGAATCAGAATTGGAGCCCTGGTGGCGCAGTGGTTAAGAGCTTGGCTGCTAACCCAGAGGTCAGCAATTCGAATCCACCAGCTGCTCCTTGGAAACCCTATGGGACAGTTCTACTCTGTACTGTAGGTTGCTATGAGCTGGAATCAACTTGACAGCAACGGGTTTTGTGAATTAGAATTGACTCAATGGCAGGGGGTTTGGTTTGGTTTATTGTGTGTTAGGCACTGTGCTGACTTACCTGATTTAATGCTATACCAACCCTATAACAAATGTATTATTCCCCCTTTATTGACTAGGAAACTGAGACATGGAGGGGTTAAATAAAATTAAACAGGTTGCACAGCTAGTAAGTGGTAGATTCAGATGTCAGACTCAGGTCTGTCTGATTTCATAGCTCAAACTCAACCATTTGCTATTCTGTCTTTTCTGGTGTTAACTTCTTTCAATAGTCATAGTGCATTTTAGAGCTATTATATTACTTTGCAAATACCAGCTTTGAAATGCCCAAACTCAAATTAAGCCAGGGATTCTTTTCTTAGTGGTTATTATTATTTTTTTTTTTTTTTTTACAGTTAAAACGCATCATTTTAAACAAAAAAATCATGTACTAATAGGAACATTTCTGTACATTTTTTTTTTCAAAATGCTTGTCTTTCCTTAGCAGAAATTTCATTGTAGTCGTCTTATTTTTAGTTACTTTTTCTTTTTTTTTTTTTAAGTATCTGCTAGGGTGAATGTTCTTGGCAGCCACTGTCATCAAGTCAGGATGTCTGGGATGCTTGACTTTTTATGAGGTCAAAAAGTCAAGAAGTTCAAGAAAAATGCATGATTCAGCTCTATCTTTGCAACCTCTTTTTGGTCCAAAAGATTTTCCATCATTCTCTAATTATTACAAAGTATTATAATGATTATATTCGTTAAAGATGTTATAAAATATACACCTATGACAGTTTGTATTCTGTGAATTAAATATGAAGAATTTCACTGAAAGCAAATGATGAGTAAGGTTGTCATGTTGTTGTTTGTTAGGTGTGGTTGAGTCAGTTCTGACTCCTAGCGACCCTGTGGACAGCAGAACAAAGCACTGCCCAGTCCCACACTGTCCTCACAATCGTTGTTATGCTTGAGCCCATTGTTGCAGCCACTGTGTCCATCCATCTCGTTGAGGGTCTTCCTCTTTTTTTGCTGACCCTCTACTTTACCAAGCATGATACCCTTCTCTAGGGACTGGTCCCTTCTGATAACATGTCCAAAGTATGTGAGGCAAAGTCTCACCATCCTTGCCTCCAAGGAGCGTCCTGACTGTATTTCTTCGAAGACAGATTTGTTCATTCTTCTGGCAGTCCATGGTATATTCAGTATTCTTCAAAAAAACCAAACCCTTGGCTGTCAAATTGATTCCGACTCATAGCTACCCTATAGGACAGAGCAGAACTGCCCAGTTGGGTTTCCAAGCAGTGGCTGGTAGATTCAAACTGCCAACCTT